GGCTCGCAGGAAGCTGAAATATGACACTATGATACTCTCCAGGCTGAGAGTGAGTCTGCAGCAATGTGACATATCAATCTGAAGTAGAAGAAGAATAAGGAGGAAGGAGGGGGAGAAAGAGAGGGAGGTGGTGGTGAGGGGGGCTAATGAGAAAATCAATACCCAAGCTGCATTTCAGTATCTTGCAAAACAACCCGATATAGCACGCTGTAGTGTTATTGGGGGGCGCAGGAATATAATGGGAATCATTCATCGCCTCTCCGGAGAAAAGGCTGCCTGGCTGCGGTGTGTCATGTGAAAAGTGTGTCTCCTAACAGCTGCATGCTGCCTGTGCACCATCTAAGCAGCGTGCAGGGCTCTGCTCAACATGATTTTATAACAAAACCTCTCTGACAACAACTTTCCTACTGACGAACACAAACCTCCACAGAATTCCCAGGATATCCCCACAGCAGGCTGCTGTGTGCCTCCTGCGCTCCAGTGAGGCTTCAAAGTGCACTTTATGGGTTGTTTATCAGCCGTGATGGAAAGATTCATGCACAGATCAACAGATTAGGGGTAAAAATGACACATAACAGACTGACTGCCGAAGTCTCACACAGGACTCTTATCAGGACCAGATGTGAGTGAAGCAAGAGCGATTTTAACATCAGCCCAAGCTCGCCAAAGGGTTTCACTTCTCAATTCAATGAAATGTGACACTGAAGTAACTTTCAATACGTTCTGCAATGAGATGAATACACTTACAAAGCAATGAAGCAGCTCGCTTTCGCCCCTATTCGCCCCTTTGAAATCTAAAAAATGAAACGAGCTGAAGCTTTTGTGCCAAACAGGTCAGCGAGCAGCTGGACGTTTGCAGCCAAAGAAAGAGCTTCAATTATCTGCTGATTAATTAATCAGACAGTCATCATCGTGTATCAGTTCAACACGGCTGACAGCGCAGAGGAGAGTCAAAGACCTGTGAAAATGATTAGATAATCAGATAATCAGGAAGCTTCAAAAAATAAAGAAATAAAAAAACATTGCAGATGTGGAACGTTAATTGTGTAGCTGCCGGAAAGAATCTCAGACGTTCGACTGCAGTGCAGACATTAATGAGGTACGGGCTCCAGGCTCGTCACTGTCAGTGATCATCTCAGCAGATGAAGGCATGAAATTCAGCCAGTGTTTGATTTATAGGCGGTGGAGGAAAGGGCAACGCTCACCGAAAAGTGTTTTTAGTCCGTTTAGTGTCCCAGCACATATTAGTTAAACTGGACACAGAGTTTATGTGGAGCTAATGAAATGGTTAATCAGGTTGGTTATGTCAAATATAAGGTCGGGGGACCAAAGTCAGCCCAGCAAAGACTCCAATCCGGCCCATGGACCATCTTTGGAAAATCTGGAAGAGGGCATACAGTTTTCATCAGTTTTCGGTTATTTTTACACTGCTGACAGATTTCTTTACAAATTGAGTTGTGCTGTTTTTCTTGTATTGACACATCGCAGGGATTAAATGTGCAGTTAAAACTTCTTCACTGGTCATTTAGTCTGGAACTAAAACTCTCTGCAAATGCTGATAGATGATAGA